CTGCCCAGTATCCATTTAACTCCTTACTAAGGGGAGAGTAAGGTGGACTGGGGTGTTGTTATCTACATTTTGCAGATGAGTAAACTGAGATTCAGAATGACTTAGTAATGTACACCAAGCCACACAACTAGTTAATAGCCAAGCCAGAACCAGAGCCACGGTAAAAAAAAAAATAATAATAGTTTGTTTTTCCTTATTCTGCTCTTTGCCTGTCACTCATATTTACTCCAGCAAAAGCAAAACACTTTTCTTGAAAACAGATAAAGTCAGCACTACCAACTAAATGAAAAATCAAAACATCTTGAATTGTTCAAGAGAGTACTGTTTCTACTATTTCTCTAGCCTTATAAAATGTTCCATAGTTCCAGGAAAGAACAGTTCTGGGAGATAAAGAGAAGAAAGCTGAATTACAGTCTACTCTAGACAGAGTGTTGGTGTTTTGTTCTGATTTAGACATTAATTTCAGAATAATGAATTATAAGAAGTAACATCCCATGGATTAATTTTAATTAAAAAAATTCATTGGAATAGTCTCCTCATTTATGTTCAACGTCATTGTCTCTGAACTAAATATAAACCCTTTGGAAAGTTCTGCTCAGCAAAGGGCCCTGGGGGCTGATAGTTGGTCATAAAGAGGTAGTTGTCATTGACTTCATTTGAAACAGTTGGCGATGTAGATTCTGGAATTTTAGATTTGGAAGGGCTATTAGAGATGACCTATAGTTGAACTATTTTGCTTTGTAGAGAATAGAGTTGCAGAAGGTTCAGTTAGTTGCCCATCTCATAGCTAAGGGCAGGGTCTAGGCCAGAACCCAGGCCTTCTGATTTCTGGTGCAAAGCTGTTTTTACTATTGGATAGGGGTTCTCTCGTTTCTCCCCTCTGGGCTTCCTTGTTGGAAGGAAATATTATCCCTAAGCATGATATGCAAAACAGGTATAGTGTTTAGTTAGAGGTGGGTTAGAGACTTTGACCATGTGTACTTAGGATATTTAAGGGTGGTTAGCTGCCCAGAGGGTGGCCAGGGGGGTTCCATTTGAAGCTACTTTTGTATAACAAGCCCACTGATTTCCCTTAGATTGTATGCTTATTTGGGGTGGCTTTTGGATACATGGCTCCATGGAGATTCTGGTGGCGTTCAAGACCCCTCCCTCCCCAAGAAAACCCTTGGGTGCTGCCACTGGTCCCAGCATCCTAATTCCAAATGTCATCTTCATGACATTTGGGGCACAGTCTGAAGATCACTCCTCCCTGACAGGTACTTAGCAGCAAGATAAGCATTTTCCTAGAGCTAAGCACATCCTAATAAAATCTAAGGCAGGAATCCTTTCGTTTTCATTGCTTGCTCTGGTGTTTAACAGTTCCTGTTCTGATTGCATTAACATTAATATGTGTACTTTTAGGGATTTATTTGTGGTCTTTAGAGATTTGGTGCACAATGAAAGGTAGAAACATTCTTCTTCCTTCCAAAAAAGGAAGAAAAAAAAGAACAGAAAAACAACTTTTAAAAAGACAGAATATTATCTTGTTCTTCACCCCGGCAGGGAGCCAGTGCACTTTATCCAGGCTC